ACACAACACGAGATGTGGGTCGGGGTGGTGTTACGTTGTCGGCATAGGGCAGCATAGTCAAATCAATTGTACTATTGCAACTCTATGATCCAGCGTCTATGCCAACCCTCACTGACCAGCGTGGTGGAGTATGGTCGAATGACACCCACGATCCAATAGTCTGTTAGAGGCTATGCGGGTGGGACTTTGTGTTTTTTTTAACTACCAGGACATTCCGCGTGATTTCTTTTTCTAGTCTGGGCCTTGTGGTGAAGAGCGTCGATTTTTTAGGCAAAAGTCAATGTGGGGGGGGGGGGGGGGGGGGTGGAGAGATTCACATGCTTCAGCAGCTTTAATCAACGCCGCCCGCTCACCCACCCTGAGCCCCCCCCCCACCTCCAACCTCTCCAACCCGAGGTCGTGCATTGACATCACGGCCCGATGTTCATTGACGCACGTAAGCACTCGACATTAGACGTTGCCACGTGCAGATGGGGGCATGTTTGTACTTCGCAATTACAACGGACCAGAGCATGCTAATATGGCAGCGTAATTCCATTTATGATCAAGGAGTGAACTTGTAGCCTTATGGATCCGATGAAACCACTTATTTGCACTTTTTTCCTACACCCCTCCCCCACCCTCGCGAAGATTGATTTCGTGTCACCGCGTGCCCTTTCGTAAATCAGTCTGACAGCCGCATATTGCCACCGCGGAAACGTACGGGGCCCTTAGCCCCTTTTAATACCGCGGTAATGCAGAACGTCAAAGCGTATTGCGAGCATACTTCTCGCGTGCCAAGGTGCCGCCCCCATGCTTGGTACTGAGCTGACACACACACACGTACAGACATAGAGACACATACACACACATACACACACATACATACACAAACATACAGACACACACATACATATACACACACATACACACACATACACACACACACATACACACACATACATACACATACATATACACACACATACACACTTACACACACATACAAACACTTACACACACTTACACACACATACAACAACAACAACAACCGCCATTCGCCACTAAGTGGCGGTGACGTCACCACGATGCTTGTGCCAGGCCAAGTGCACCTTGAGGCCACGTGAAGTGTCGAACGCCCGCTGGCAGGAGGTCACGGGGCAGACCCAGCAGGTGCCACTGGTCGACTGACCGAGATGACCGAGATGACTGGCTGATGCACCACCTGTGCCCCCTACTGTGCCAACTTGCTGTGCTTTAGCCACCCGGCGCTCCGCTCGTTGTTGTGAGCGTCGCTCCTCCGCCCTCCGTTGTTGTTGGAGGGCGACTGCCTCCAACTGCCCAGTAGCGTCCTTCACGAGCCTCCTCCACTGAGGCCGATCTTGACACCGCTGGTACCAGTCATCGGCAAGTCCACTCAACTCCACGTCCTCCTGTACCACATCACTCCATCTCTTCTCCAGCCCGTGCCGCGCCCGTCTAGCCCCCTCGATCCGGCCGAACAAAAGCTATTTAGGCATGCGGTGGCTGGGCATGCGGGCTACATGACCCAGCCAACGCAGCCTCGCCTGCCGGAGGAGCTCACTGATGGGACTTTGCCCAGATCTTTCAAGGATTTGTGAGCTCCTCACACAATCCAGCCTGGTTAAACCCAGGATGGATCGTAGGCAGGCCAGCCTAAATGTTTCCAACCGGCGAAGATGCTCCACCAGGGGGGTCCACGTCTCGCAAGCGTAGAGAAGGGAGGGAATGACCGTGGCCGAGAAGACCTGAAGCTTCGTGCGGAGCGACAGACCAGGTAGCTTCCACACAGCGTTACGCAACCGATGAAAAAATATTGCCGCTCGACTGATTCGGAGTGAGACCTCTGCTGATAAACTGGAGCCGGTCATAAGCACACTGCCCAGGTATGGGAAACTCTCCACTCTCTCCACAACTGCCCCATCACCAATTGGGAGTTGTGGGGGTGGAGTGTCCGATGGTACAAAATACCCAGGCAGGTGCTTAGTTTTGGTGGGGCTGATGGTAAGGCCCCACCTCTTAGTGGCACGCTCCAGTCTCAGCAGCAGCGTCTCCAACTCCTCTTCTGAATGAGCAGCTATTACCAAATCATCGGCATACATAACGTGGTTGACCAATAGGGAGCCATCCCTTGATCGCACCCGGGCATCGATCAGCCTCCCATTATATCTGTACCAAATGGAAATTCCCCCGGTACAGCTATTGAAGGCTTCTCGAACTACGCGGTCAAAATAGATGTTAAATAATGTGGGAGCCAGAGGACATCCCTGTCGCACCCCAAGGTGTACAGGGAAAGGCTCCGACTCCCGGCCACGTAGTTTTACCCGGGCCCGCTCACCATCATGAAGGTCCTTAATGATCGTGAGCAGAGGGTCAGGGACTCCGAAAGCACGAAGAACAACCCAGAGCCCAGTCCTACTGATGGTATCATAGGCCTTGACCAGGTCAATAAAGCAGAGATGTAGGTCTTTTTGGAATTCCCTACACCTCTGCTGTAGCAGACGGACAGAAAATATGGCATCTGTGCAGGACCGCCCTTTCCTGAAACCGCATTGGGGCTCCGCAAGCCTCTCCTCAGCGTGCCTAGCAAGGCGATGTTGGATAATCCTTGCCAGGACCTTACCCGGCACACTGAGGAGTGAGATGCCCCTGTAGTTGTTACAGTCGGTACGGTCCCCCTTCTTAAAGAGGGGGACCACCAGGGCATCCTTCCAGTCCTGCGGAACCCGTCCAGTGGTCCAGACTGTTGTTATGATGTCATATAGGGCAGTCTGTGCACAAACGCCACCCTCCCTCAGCATTTCGCTTGGGAGATCATCTCTGCCCGGTGCCTTCCCTGGTCTCAGACACCGGATCGCCCTCAGTACTTCCTCAACAGCTGGCACCTCAGCCAGCCACTCACAGGGGGTGACCTCTTCCAATATTTGAGGCACCGCAGCCTCAGCAGGGTTATCACCACTTTGTGTCATGATGTTTTCCTGGCTGAGAGAATTTCCCTCCCCCAGGACCTCACAGAAATGCTCAGCAAATCTGCAAACCTGTTCCTGGGGGTCGGAGATTGGATCACCGTTTTTTCCTCTAATGATGGTAATAGGTGTGGCGCTGCAGGTTACTTTTTTGATGGAGTTAAATAGTGATTTGTGATCACGGGCCACTGAGGCAGACTCCATCTCCTCAGCAACCCGCGACCACCACCCATCCTTACAGCGCCTTACGGCTCTCCGAACTTCCGAGCGAAGGCTGCGGTAAACCTCCTCATTCTCTGACGTGGGATGCTGTAGGCGATGAGAGTGGGCCTGTCGCTTTTTCTCAATTAACCTGAACACCTCCTCTGTCAGCCAGGGTTTCTGGGGAGGTCTGGACCGCGTACCCAAAGCAGCCATTGCAGCTGCATGAGTCACAGTCTTAAACCTCGCCCATTTCCCCTCGACATCAGGTGGAGTGGGGGACGATGCCAACCCCAGCTGCAAGCGATGATGAAATTCTCGCTTGAAACTTTCATCAGCTAACTGAGACCAGGCCACTTTTGGTTGGAATGGGATCCTGGGTGTACACCCACCACCCGAGTGGAAGAAAGGCAGGCGCATCTTACAGATGGCTAGTCGATGGTCAGAGGACAGATCAGCTCCACGGTAGGTCCTGGTGTCAAGGACATGGGCTCGCATCCGCTGGTCCGTCACTATGTAGTCCAGCAGATGTTCTTGCTTGGACCCGGCATGTATCCATGATGTTGTGTGGATGCGCCGATGCCGGAAGAGCGTGTTGGTAATTACAAGCCCATGGGCTGCACAAAAATCTAGCAGCCTCCTACCGTTGTTATTGAGCTGATCTGAGCGGGCCTCCGACACAAGCCTAATAAGTGTTTTGCATCGTAGTTTAGTGGTAGTTAATGAAGGTGGAGGGGTTACCAGCCCCTCGCACCCGTCCAGAGCCCCCCCTGTGGTGGTTACAAACGCGATGAAGGGAAAAGCCAATCTAAGTTGGCCCTCCCCCCACGGCACTGCCCACCACAGCGTTGCCGTCCGGCACCACAAGGAGGTAGGGGGTTGTTTTTGCCGGACTATACATACACACTCACATACACACGTACATACACACACATTCACACACACACATACACACATACACGCACGTGCGCCGACGGAAAAAGTGGAAGGGGGGGGGGCAAAAAACTAAAAGCGTCCCCTCGGAGATTTAGGAATTAACACGCCGCTCCACAAACTCCGTTGCCACGTTCTGCGCCAGGGAGGTAGATGCGTGCTCGCAGAGAGAAAAAAATTGTTGTCACAGAAAGCGTGTCGTCCGTTTGTAGCGGTTTGTTCAAAAAGCAGTTAAAATACCCAGTGGGCACAGCAGCACATATTGTGAATATTTACTGTGTTTACTGGCGAGCCGATGATACGCGTCGGTGGAAACGCGGGCGTGCACACCCTGGGGACTTGCCGAGCCACACTCTGCCCGGCAAGAAATGAAAGAGAAAAGGAATTGGAAACGGGGTTTCTTTTTTTTTCTTGAAATAATAAATATCGTTTGCTTGACAGTAATACTCCTACGACCATGAACCTAACCGTAACCCATGCCCGTTTTTATATTTTCATGTGGCCAATAAAACGCCCGCCCTAACATATAGCCCAATAAAGCACATTCACAGTAGATATCCTTTTAACATAAAGCATTGTAAAATAAAAAATAAAACACCCGGCAGCAAAAATAATAACAACACCGACAAATAACGATAACACTAAAATTACTAATAAACACAGACGTATGCAAAAAAAAAAAGCGAACGGACGCGGCCGTTTAACGGAGAGTTACTATTTTGCGCGCTTCCATTTGTTTTCTAAAAAAAAAAAATTGAGTTTTTTTTTACGAGATCGTTTTCTCACGGCGGAGGATGAGAAGGCACCGCCCTGCCGGAGAGGCGTGCGGCGAATCATCGCACGGTTTGACCTTTTTAAACGGAGGCAGCGGACGCGGCAGCAAGGTGGCCAATTCATTACCTCCGTGTGCTCGTTTCTCCAGCCCTTCTTCATCATCATCATCATCATCGTCGTCGTCGTCGGCTGTTCGTTAATTCCTCCTCAATTTGCGCGACTTGTTACGCTGCGCTTGTAGAAAATGTGCACTACATCAAGGAGGGGGGAGGCATAGGGGGGAGGGGGAATGCCGAAAGCGTAGTACACCGGCTGTTCCTGACACCGCCGTCAAAGACAACCGTTTGGATATCAACCAAATAGTCAGCGGTGAATAGGCAAAATGTGCGGCGAGCGAGTCTTGATTTAGTTGGGGCTTAATGAAGGGAAGAAGTTTAAAGCTTTCTGTGAAGCGCTTCCATAATTGTGCGATCTTTGAAGCACACGGAGAGAGAGAAATTGCTTTGTGCAGTAACAGGATGAAAAGGCGAGGGGGGGGGGAAATTGTGCAAAAGCTTGATGGAATATTTAAGCTGCCACAATCAGGAGAGACGAGGCTTGCTGCCAAATTCTGCTGAATAGCGCACTTTTCACTTTCATAATCTGCCCACGTTGCCAGGTTTACACGTCTTCAAAAACAAATTATCGGTGTTTTTACGGACGGCTGTCGAAGTTTTAAGATGCGCACATCGGCAAAGGCAATTTACGCGACGCATCCTCCCACGAGTAAATTAAAATGATATATATTTTTTAAACAACTAATGAGCAAACATTCAAGGTGGGGGCCCTTCTGTAAAAACATTTTTCTTCCATACACAGTCGAGATTTTCCTGGGTAAATAATTAAGGTTGTTAACTATCACCAGAATGTATGCAGACATATAATGTATGCAGATGTAAAAATTGTCTTTTTTGGTAAAACAAAACTAAATGTAAAATGTACGACGACGACATTGGTATCATTTGAAAAATGCTTAACAAATCATGATAACCATAATTTTAGTTAATTGTTTTTTTATTTTTTTATTTTAATTTTTTTTTTACCCTTCTATCTGGCAACAAAACTGACACCTTTTTACAAGGAGTCATGTTTGCATAGACCGCAATACCTGCAGTCATAATACAAACAAAAGACACAACTCTGATAATGTGCACTGTCCTTGAAGTTGATTGGTCCACACCCAAGACAGCTTTCCTTAGAGCCTAGTCTCACATGGTGTTGGACCAGATGACGCCAAAAGGCGCATAATTTTTGTTGTCAAAATTATATCATTCACAATGCTGTAGCCATGGCGAAATGACGCAGTGATGAGTACACCGCCCTATGAACCCGATGACCTGAATGTAGTTCCCAGCCACGGCTAATATCACTGGTCATCTATATCTGAAACGGTCCGAGCCCATACTGACCAGCGTGGTGAATAATGGCCAAACAACCCTCATGATTGACCTAGCGTGGGGAAGGCCTTTGTCCAACCAGCGTATTGACAATCTGCTATAAATAATAATAAAAAAAATGGCTATTATAATATCCATCAAGTGCGCAAACGATTTACCTCAAGTCTGAAGCACATCTCTCGAAATGTACATGTTGAAGCACAATCAAGCAGCATGCCTCCGTTCAGGTGCATTTGTTTGATGAGGACATTTAAAATTCACACTCGTATCTCGCATAATACCGCGCAAGCAGCACGCCTCGTTAAAAACGAATTTTCTGTTTGCCTTTTGCGAAAGAAAAAAAAATCAATTTGGTGAAAAGAAAAAAAATCCATTTGGTGAAAAGAAAAAAAATCCGGAAAGATTACTTTTTTTTAAAACCACACGAGCAACATTATCTTATACTTAAATTCAAATAATTTTCCCTTCCAAGATGTGTCCCATTGCCTGTGCATTACTATCTTAAGGATGCACGCTCTGAAAAGAATTGACAGCTCAATTTTAGCCGTCTGGAATATTAAATGAGACGAAAGATGTTGCCCAAATATACCCCTGCTTATATGGGTAGCGTCAGCAACACTCTGGTCGACAATCGCGGTTGCCAAACGCACCCTTCGATAATTTTCGCAGAGCTTCGTCTGTGCCCTTCCACCCCAACGGAGACACTCGCAGTGTCGTTAGCAGCGGCACCGTTTGCGTCAAATGGCCGCTGCGTTTGCGCCGCGTAAAAACGATGCGGCTTTGCCGCCCGATGTTTACTTCTTCGGCTCGGCGACACCGCTCACCGCAGGGGCTCACATTCAAACCGGGGTGGCGAAGCTTGCTACTTGTTTCGCTTTGACGACAACAACAAGAACGACGAACAAAAATTGTCCCCAAACTGCCGACGCGCGAAAACGAAAGACCCCACTCGCACGGTGACGGCGAGCGGGCGCCGTAAATTTTCTGTAAAAAAAAAATTTTGTTGCTAAATAAAAAATTCCGTCCGCGATCACGTGAACAATTTTAATATTCTACCCTCCCACAACCCACCGACCCTACCGCGCAAACAGCCGATCCGATGGCTAAGCGTGAGCAACGGCGCGGTCGAAACACCCTCCCCCCACCCTCCCGCGGAAACCCGCACGGCCGCCCTTCCATCATCGGTATCGATTTTCGCAAATCCCTCTCCGCTCAGTGGCAGAACGTGCTCTGAGCTGCCACCTCAATCATTCAGCCCCCAAAAGCGGGGAGACGAAACGAGGCTCTGCGATCACCCCGCACACACAGCAACAACAACAGCAACAACAGAAAACCACCCCGGCCACAATCGAAGCTGGCAGAGCCGCGCAAAGAGAGAAGCGGTTAAATCCGCGTTGCTCACGCGAGCATTCCATTAAACCCGATTATCCGATATTAACACCATTCTGCGTGTATCACCATGTACGTGGCGTGTCTATAGCTCGCATGGTGTGCTTTGTTGTTTAACGAATGGCCTTTTTTGGTCAAGCATTGTACCTCGCCTGCTTGTGTGCTTTTCAAATGCGTGATCGAGCGAGCGTGCTCTTTTGTGCTATTTTTCAAGCCCGTGTTTGTGTTCGTATAAATACCTTTAAATACGACGATGGTGATTAAAAGTATAATGAATATTTTCTGCGGTCCATTAATAATGCATTGTTAATTATATATCGCCTCATTGGAATTGATTTTAAAAATATAGATTGCAAAAGGAAGCGGATAGAAAAAAATAACATGCTAAATTCATATTTCACACGCATGTTGCAACATTCATCCGTGTATCAATGCGTTACCAATTCTGTTCAAGGGCTGCCACACTGCGTCGGAGCACCCTCGAGGCATCAAAACACGGCCACTCGGACACGGGGAAGAAATCAACTTACAGGATTGCACGTTTGGTTGTTTTTCCTCCTGTAGCAATGACACAACCCCTATCTGAGATGCAACTTGCCGCACACCATGGATCCTGAACGACCACATCACTCACACACCGCGCGTTCCAGGTTTGTAGTCGCTTGCGCTGGCCTACACTTACGCAACAACAACAATAGGTGCAACTTCGCATGATAAGATCATTTTACATTCATCCGAGACGTTCACATCCAGAAATAGGCACGGCTTCTCCATGCCACACGGGGCTTGAGGGCGTTTGTATCGACCATACTTCACCGCGCTGATCAGCACTGGTTGGTGATGCAAGGAGAAGAAAGTAGGACCCAGTTCTGACATCGTATGCGGTCGAGATTCGAACTCGGGCCACCAGGCTGATAGCGCAGCGCGGCTAAGCACCGTTCCACCGCAGTGCATTCGCTTCATAGCCAGGCCAAGCACGTATGGATTTTTATTTTGTCAACCGACCTTAACAGCCCTGCGGTTTTTTGGCACACATCTTTGGGTCGGTACCTGGGCTCAGCAGTTCAATTCGCCGGTCCTGCACTCAGCCGTGCGTTTAAATAATTGGGTCCCAAGTGTCCCCGAGATTGGCGACAGGCACCGCAAGGAAGCAAAAAATTGGATTAAAATCCTGTAGAGGGTGGTGTAACCCTCTCAGATGTCCCCTTATCATCCAATCTTAATATGGCTTGAAATTGGAAGTTGCGCATACCAACGACACACACACACAATTCGCGCCCGGTGATTGCAAGATGTGCTTTTACTTCTGGTCACTCCGTTTCATTGTACGGCTCTCGGCACGGCCCCGCATCCGCCGTTCCATTATTTTTCATCGCGTTCACGAAAGAAAAAAAGGGAGGGGGGCGGGTGGATGGGAAGGGGGGGAAAGCCGCACACACCGCCGCACTGTTTGTATTGATCACCCCGAACAAGCAGAGGAGCGGGAAACATTATCCTAAGAGCTATTTTCGCCCCGGTGTCCCGTTTAACCCCTTCTGCTACCACTGAACCAGAATGCCCCCCCCCCCCGGCCCACCGCCCCCATTCCTTCCCCGTGCAATTGCCGTACTCTTGACCTTTACGACCTTCCCCCCCGGCCCACCCCCCAACCGAATCACCTCCACGCTCGCAACGGCGCATCGGAGGGAGGGCCCAAGGCAGCCTTCTCCCCCGCGGAGGCTGTTGCGGCGCAGGCCCCCGAGGTGGGGGGGGGGTCGGGGGGGGACCCCCCTTCTGCTGTCAACGGATTTTCGGCGAGACTGCGGCATGGGACGCGGTCGTGGTCCCGTTCACACGGCACGCGCGGCGTTAACGTTGAAGCCGGAGAATATCTATAAAAAAAGTGCGGCACAAACTTCGGCGCGCATGGAGGAGGAGGAGGTGGCGCGGGGCGGGGGGGAATGAAATAAATAAAATCGCCCTTCGCGGAGATGTATCAACGGCTGCGCATTTGTCTTGCAAACCAAATTCTGTGCAACGGAGCCAGCCGCGGGGCTATTAGTTACCCCTAAAAATCCGTTACCGCGGGGGGCACACCACAATTCACACACGGCCTCGGCGCAAAAGCCTCGCGCGCATCGAGAAATCACGAGTGAAATCCTGGTGGTGGTGGTGGTGGTGGAGGATGAGAGGGAGGGGGCGGCGAAGGATAGCTCTGGCCAGTGCCGCTATTTGGGACTGCATTATTGTGGCCATGAAAAGCAATTGTCAGAATCGACAATCCATAAAGTGTAGTCAAGCGCACTCGACACAAGGGTTAATGCAGAGCGTGCTGCACATGTTTATTTATTTACCTGCTCACTTCCTTCACTCTACATTTATTTGCGCGGAGGCTCCATCGCGGAATGCTGAATAAATCTGA